GAAAAAAAATTTCGGACTTTATTTTGTCTTCACGGTGAAAATGGCTTTGGTATTATTGTGTGAAAATTCTCGATTTAATTTTTTATATTTTTAACTTTATAATGCTATGACATATTGAAAAGTGTATGGATCAACATAATCTTTGAATGAGAAATAATATTTTTAATAATCCCTTTTTTATTCGACATACTTTATCTTAATCAAGATATTAATAAGGAATTAGCAGACCATGTAGCTTTTGGAATAATCCACCAATTCTTTAAATTTAAACACTATCTAAAGATTTTCATCGTAGCGTTTTTTTTTTGATAGTGATTTTAATCACTGTCAGATATTATTATACTTGATCCAACTATGCCACGTCACCACTGTGCCGCGACCCCCCTGTACTAGGTTTTTTAGATTGTACTTTGGAATCTCTATTAACAATCATTTTAATAAAATTTAATTTTTCTTTTTTTTTGAGTATACTAACAATTATTGTCATTTTTGTTATACCATTATAACATAGCACTGTTATTGTTATACTTCTAATTTACTTATTTTTTCTTTGTTTATAATTGAGCTAAATATTATTTTAATAAAGGCTGTAAAAAAAAAAAAAAGTCTTCAAATGTGGTTTTAATATTTGACAGTAGTTTTAAAATATTATGGGTTTTTATGAATACAATTGGAATAGTTTATTTTATACCTACTTATTTTAATGTTATAATTGTACATTTAATACTAACATAAAAAAATTAAAACCACCCCCAAAACACAATTCTGGGTACCCCCTGTACTTTTTAATTGTAATATAAGACGGTATATTCTTAACCAATAATTTCATACACTTACTATTATTTATAATTTAAAATAATTATATATTTTAAGGAAAGTCTAATTTTTAATTTATGAATGCGCGACTTATAAAACTAGATGATTTAATTAGTAGCTATAGCAACACTCAAATGGAAAATCCAACAATATTAATCATGAAGAAATTGTGTTGAAACTTGACCTTAATTTTTCTTACCGGTATGTAAATAAATATATCTTAGTGAAAAAATGGTTTGTATGAATGAAGGTTTTCAAAAAATATTTCAAAAAGTTGTACTAGGATGGACGACAGCGTATTTATACTCTGTTTTCTCATGTTCTGTCCCCAAGTGCCCAGAAATCAATGCCGGATGGCACATATACCCTTATGACAAGAGGTACTTTATTTCCTCCAGTATATTCATGATCAGCACCTCCATTATGATCGCCGAATTGGACATATGGATCTGCAATATGAGACCGAACAACAAAATCATTCGATTTATTTTAGAAGTACTGTAATTAGTATATTTTAATTTAGTAGCCTAGAGATAACTAAAAAGGGCTATAACCTCCTTCCAGCCAATTATTACTATTAACTGTGATTTTAGCGCTAGTAAGAGTATCTGACTAACTACGATAAAAAGGCCATTAAACCCCTCTGAGTTTTCATTCTGGTCACATCGTTTTAAAGCTATCTAATTTTGGTTCTCGTTGTTGTTACTTTTCATATAATGTATTAAAATGTAGTTGCTTTAAAAAAATAAATAAATATACATAAAAAAACATTTTTAAAAAGTAGGCGGATATTAAATTTATTTGGTTTGAGGATCGTATACTTCGAGCTTCACATAAATACAATAGTGAAGGTATTTCACTATTTTAGTGCATTTCTAAGCAGCAAAGGTATCAGCGGCGTTTTCAGCGCTTTTTATTTCATTCTTGAGTGTAAAAAAATGTCAAGAAAAGGTTGAAAATTAAACTTTTTTTTTCTTTTTTTTTTAAATTTATTTATCTAAAATTCTACGAGCAAATTATACTATTCAATGGTTTTTTATCTACTGGAGGGAGAAAGAAAAAAGTCTCTACTAATTAAAACACTTTGAGGTTTTGTATAGCCCTTAGTATCTTTTATCTTGTTTTTTATATTAATTTTGTCTAGTAATTAGACAATTACTCCTTTATATTTTTAAGGTATTAATTTAATTTATTTTTCTTTTTTTTTAAATTTATTCATCTAAAATTCCACAAGCCATTAAAAAATTCCATTTGTTTATAATATTTTTTAAATAAAAATTTGTTTCTGAAATATATTGGTAGTTGTGATTATTATTTTTTGTGTTGACAGGTTTACATCAAAACTGTGATAATATTAACAGCTTATGTAGTGTTTTGGCATCCAATAATCATGTCAATATCAAAACTAAATAATTTTTTAAGTATACAGGTAAATAACAAGTGTTAACAGGGCTATAGCAAACGTTGGAAAATACCACTGCCAGTATTTACAAAATTTGTAAAAATTGGTCGTACACTTTTTTTTTTTTAATAATAAGTTTTATGATTGTAGGACAATCATAAAAATTGTAAAACAAATAGCCGATTTGTTTGTTTAATTTAGTTTATTGTCAGCTGTGCTGTTCTAGCTATGGTCTAAGTTTTGAATAATACTTAAAGATAAATTTATAGTTATAGATATTTATATTTTTGACTTACAGTAGCGTATTTAGAAGGGACACAGGGGCACGTGCCCCCCCTAACTGAGTCATGTAAATATTTTATCAAGCAATGTAATAATGTATATCATTGGAAAATTCATTTGTTGGTTATCGACGATACATGGGCTTATGAAATGTTAGTCGATATAGATGTCTTGTGGAGTAAAATTTGACGCCCGTACAGTTGTCCCGTTATTGTTATCACCTATTTTTTAAGTGTTTATTACGTAGAGATCAACTGTATAAAAAGAAATATTTTTATTAATAATGGATTCAAAACTAATAACAGATTTCTTTTCAAAATGAATAATCAATACATATTTAATATGCGTTGACAAAAGTTATGAGCAAAAAAAAATCGATTTATGGTACCTTATTCATGAACATTTTTTGTGTCCCCCCTATTATAAATGCCTAAACACACTACTGATGACTTAGATATAGATATGTCGTCTTGAAAGAAAAGATTCCATTTATTTTCAAAATAAATTACTGGTTTATTTTAAAAATATATATATTATTATTTTATTTATTTTGACTTAATTCATTTAGGCATTTATGTGGAACAAGAGTAAAAACACTTACATCACAGCCAGTGTTCAGTGTTTAAAAAATGTTAGAAGTTCTAAAATGTATTCAATATTATTAAGTGTTATACTATTGGTAAACGTGTTACGCGTGCATGGCCAAAAAGACTTGTAATTATTTTAATTAATTAAATTATTATTATAAACAATATTAAGAATAAAATTATCGGGGGAGTGGAATTTAGTTAAAAGAGTTGACCACAACACATTTATATTTATTTTATTAGAGCTTATCAATATCATACGTTTCTATAAACGAAACTACTTTATCTCAACATAATTTCATCAACCGTTTTTAATTTTAAAAAGTCAGAATATAAAATTCAATATATGTATTCAATTAAAAAAAAATTAAATTTTTTATTCCTGAATATTTTGTTTTTTAGACTTATCTTTAACCAGTGTACCATAGATATGAAACCAGTAAACCCATTCGGAGTATAAATATGTATTTTAAATGAGTTCATTTGATTCAATATTGAGTCATATGTATCATAATTATTTGTCATTAGACATTTTATATAGATTTTTAGGTTATAAAAGGTTGTCGAGGATAATAAAGTTTACTGTGTGATAATTATATATATATATTTTTTTTAGTATGCGTTTGGTCAACCAAGTTTAAAATAATAACTAAGATTTGAAAACTATAATCAATCAAAGTAAAATTTGAAATGCTTAAGATCATATTAGTGTAATTGTCATTTTGTATGTATAATAGTTATATAAATAAATACATTCAGATATATATATTCAGATTAAATTAATTTGTAAAATTTTTTGTTTTATTATGTGATATCATTGAAAAAGGCTCAGTGAATTTGGTACAATTTTTAAAATTTTAAATAATTACATAAAATATTTCTGTATTTTCATGTAACTGTGATCCAATATTTTCCATAAGAAAACATTGCATATATTCAAGTGTATTATTCTGTAAAATAATATGTAATATGTAAAATATTCTTGCATAATATTATTATAAAAGTTAAAAGCAAAGGAGCATATCAGTGGTGTAATCAGGTTTTTTGGTGAAAGTGATAATTAAAAAAAAACAAATATTTGCTAATAATTTTATAAATTAATTTAAAATTTTACGTTGATGAATAAAAAATAAAAAAATTCAATTAAAACCGTGTTATGAATTTTTAGGATATAAAATGGTTATATAATTATTTTTAGCATGCCAAATGTGTTAAATAATTAATAGTTCAATATTATTTAGTAGAATTGTAACTTTTGAATATTGTTATTTTTGTAGCAATATTGTTTTTATTAATATTTTGTCAAGTAGGAATTTAATTTAAAAATATTGAAAATAACAAATAATAACAAAGTTTATACTAATATAGTTCAATAAACTCGTTATATTATATTTTCAATATAAATATTAATTATTTTAAATATAATACTACATCAATTTATGATAGTATAATTTATCATAATGAATATTATGATATAATATATCAAGAAATCATTGAAGTTTATAAGGAATATACCGAGCAACTGCAAATATGGATAAATCTTCAAGCTTTTCAAATAAGAAAAAAATGCTACCAGGAACCTTAATATATTTGCTATAAAAATAATTTTCAAATTGTAACAATAATAATAATATTAATAATTCTTAATATATTCAGAGTTTTAATAATAATAATGCTAATAATTTAGCATTAATAACAATAAAAATAATAATACAAAATTCTGCACTTATTGTAAAAAAAAATTTTAACAGACAGAGTTAAAGGTCACAATCTTCTCAATTTAAATTTAAATTTAAATTGAGATTTAGATTTATTTAATAATAATTTTATTTGACTAAGTATATTGCAATTCTATACTTACTGGGTAGCTAGTCTCGTCGCTAATGTCTTTGTTTTAACGAACATTGCGCCGGCAGACAACGCAGAGAAACTTACCAGTATATTTGCAGTGTTCAATTTTTGTCTTGGTGATTATTGTGCCGCATCCTTTCAAGGCGCTAGCGCAGGAATACATTGGGCCACCATCAGGCACGTGAACATTGGTGGGCCTGGCCCCCCTTAGATTTAATGTGGCCCAGGGCCAGCCCCCCCAAATTTAAAATTCAATTATTTTTACGAATTATCAATAAGGTACTAGGCCTTATATACATTGAAATTATTATTAATTTGTGATTACTATTGAGTAATACAGTTATTATTATGGCTGTATTTTCATTTTTATATTCATAGAAAACGTTATTTGAAAAAGATAACATTCTGGACGTAATAATAAATTGAATAGCAGTTACTCCAAACGTGGTTGTAGATAAATTTTTTTTAACTCTGGTCCAACAAATGATAAACTATCAAGTATCATTGATACTTATTGAAATATGCATTGATTAGAATCTAGTTGATTACAAAATTCGATAGAGTAATACTCTATGAAAATTTTTTTTATATATCTTATCTTTAATCTGTTTTTTTTATTATAATTTAGTAGTTATAATAGGTAATTTATTTGTTTTTGTTAATTTGTTATTTGCGTGCTCTAAATAATAGTAATGAAAATATGACTAAAAAAAGGCAGGAATTGTTTTTAATTTTAAATAAAATAAATTTTACATTGTTTATAATTTATATTTATTTTCAAAATTATTTATAACTTATTTGTTATTAGTATTTAGGTATAAATTATTTTTTCTTAAAAGTTGAAAAATTAAATCAGCTTATGTTCACATCATTATTTTATTAGCGTCGATGCAAAACTGAGAAGGTATTGGTTTTACTATGATTTTGTGTCTGTTACCACTTTTTCTCAGCTCTCACCAAACCGATGTCTTTCAATGATACGTCAAAAGTTCACAAATCGTATCTAGTCGAAGACATTACTCTCAAAAATTGAAAAAAATTCCCTCGTTCCCCGTAAATGGAGGAAACCTCCAAAAAAATTACAAATTTAAAAATCGCTTGTTTTCGAAATTTTTTCAATTTTTTTTACTTAAAATTGCTATAACTTTTTTAAAAATAACCAAATCAATATAATTATTTTTTATAGATGCTTGATATCGTTACCTATTATTTGGTATATATTTTTTTTCATATCTGACCCTTTACCTGCCCACAGAGGGGGATTTAAAATGACAACTTTTTCACAAAACATTAATTTTTTCAACTTGACTTTTGAAAATGTTCCGGAAAGTCTGACACTTTTATATATATTAAATTAAAGCTAATGTAATGTACTTTATTATGGAAAAAAAAATTTTGGACTTGTTAATTGAGCTAAAAGTTATGGTAATAAATTTATTTTTTTTATTTTTATTATTATAAACTTTCACTTTAAAGGACAAAAAAAGTAGGTTAAGAATTATTACTTTTAACATATTAAAAATCAATAATAACTTGAAAACAATTAATTATCAAAAATATATTATCTATAAGTAAAAAAGAATTACTAATCTGGATATAAGTAAGGAAGTAGAAGTTGTTGTTGCTTTTGTAATTATCCACAAATTTTAAAAATTAAAGACTATCTAAAGATTTGCATCGAAGCGTTTCTTATGATAGTGATTTTAATCACTGTCAGATTAAATCTATACTGGACCCAACTATGCCACGTCCCCACTGTGCCACGACCTCACTGTGCTGGGTTTTTTTTATATTTATCTGTTCATAACCATCAGTCAATGACTGTCTGACAAAATCATCTATTGTTTTTTTTATTATAAACTTTCACAAAAATCAACCATAAAGGATTAACAAGATAGGTTAAATATGTCATTTTTCATATTTTTAACATATTAATAATTAAAATCAGTATTAATTTAAAACAATTTTTTTTTATGTCAATACTTATTTTTTAATAATAAGTAATCCTATCAAAACTTAGAAGTGATAGAAAAGTCTAATTAGAGATATAAAAAGAGCGCGAAAAGTTGAAAAAGAAATGTATATTTTTGTTTATTATAATTTTTTTGCAGAATAATGGTAATTAGTATAAACCAATAATACTTAGTATTAAGGGTGTAATAAATTAGTAGTAATATGTATTTAGGGAGCAGAATAATAATAATTGGTAATAAAGGGAGAGAAAATAGGAATAATTAGTAATTAAGGTTGTGAGATGCAGTAATTTAAGGGTAATAATTAGTAATTCAGGATGTGAAATATAGTAATTAAGGAAGAGAAAAATAGTATCTAAGGGTAATTAATATTTAAGGGTGAATAATAAAGAGGAATTAGGGGTTATACTAAAAGCTAGGGGGAGTTTTTAATTAAGGGGGATACTAAAAGAGTAGTTAGGGGAAATATACAATTAAGGGGGTATAATAAAGAGATAGTTAGGGGGAGTTGATAATTAAGGGAGTATACTAAAAGAGTAGTTAGGGGGAAATATATAATTAAGGGGGTATTTTTATTAATTTGTAGATTCTATAATTTTTAATAAAAAATATATATATAGTGTTCTATGACTATATTTTTTTGTATCTGTGAACGCTCAATCTCAGCTCTCGCTGGACCGATTTTGATGAACATAACATCAAAAGATCACAAATCGCATCTAGTAAGACATAACCTTCAAAAATTAAAAACGTTTCTCTCGTACCCTGTAAATTTCCCCCATTTGCTGCGTACGATCCTCCAAAAAATTACAAATGTAAAAATCGCTAATTTTTGACATTTTTTAATTTTTTTTTACTTAAAACTGCATTAAATTTCTAAAAATAGCCGAATCTATATAAATTTTTTTATAGATGCATAAACCCTTTGACCCTTGCCTGCCTACAGGGGGGATTCAAAATGACAACTTTTTTACAAAAAATTAACTTTTTCAACTTAACTTTTGAAAATGTTCCGGAAAAACTGATACATTGATATATATCTTAAATTAAAGCTAATGTAATATACTTTATAATGGTAAAAAAAAATTTCGGACTTTATTTTATCTTCACGGTGATAACAGACATCAAAGTAAATAAAAAAAAAACGATTTTTGTAAAAAAATTCTTTTTTATATTTTTAACTTTATAATGCTATAACTTTTTGAATGATATATAGATCAATGTAATTATTTTTTTTATAGATGCATGATGTCTTTAGCTATCATTTGGTATGTATTTTTTTATAAATCTGACTTTTTACCTGTCTACAGGGGGGGATTCAAAATGACAACTTTTTCAACTTAAATTTTGAAAGTGTTCCGGAAAGTCTGACACTTTTATATATATCTTAAATTAAAGCTAATGTAATGTACTTTATTATGTAAAAAAAAATTTCGGACTTTATTTTGTCTTCACGGTGAAAATGGCTTTAGTATTATTGTGTGAAAATTCTCGATTTAATTTTTTATATTTTTAACTTTATAAGGAACTAGCAGATTATGTTTTTATTATTATTATGCTTTTGGAATAATCCACCAATTTTTTAAAATTAAATACTATCTAAAGATTTGCATCGAAGCGTTTTTTTTTTGATAGTGATTTTAATCACTGTCAGATATCATTATACTTGATCCAACCATGTCACGTCACTACTGTGTCGCGACACCCCTGTGCTGGGTTTTTTATAATACTGTAATAATTAGTATACTTTATACGAATATATTATTTAAAATTTGAACATTTTTGTAAGTATTTTATTGACTATATGACGTGTAGTGTAAATCGTATACGTAGTGCATTTAATACCAAAATCAACATCGAATTACTTGAAATATTATTTCATTACATTGAACGTAAAGTAAGTACAATTTAACCTATGCTTTCGAAACTCCATCAATCTATTGCGTAATAAACCATTAAATAATTAATAAGAGAATTAATAAATTAAATTAAATTATATAAATTAAAAATATTTAACATTCCAAATATTCCCCTACTATTCCAAACAATTTCCCAATCTATTTTAATCTATATTTCTTTTTCTTTTTATTCTTTTAATTATTTTTATTTTTTGGTTTATTACACCCCTTCCAAAATATAATGAAATTTTAAATAATTAGGTAACATATCTTATTTTACAACTTGGGATCTAGCATCTCGTTTCCACTAAATTAAATTAGATCCAAACGATGCTCCTGTTTTTATTAACGGCAATGAACTAATTTTCAAATTAAATTTTGAAATTATAATATTAATTTTTAATAATAAAATAATTTTTTTAGTGTTTAGCCAGTCTTTATAGGCGGTTCATACCAAATTTTTCTAAAGTAGCTCGCCCTTTATTATTTTTACTTTCTAAAAACGTAGAATTTAAATTAGTCGATGAGAAAATAAAATCTTTTAATAATTTGAAAGAAATTTTAATAAATGAACCATTATTACTATAACCAAATTTTTACAAAGAATTTATTTTAATCACGGACGCGCAAGTAATTATGCAATTAGAGCTGTGCTTAGCCAAGATGATTTACCTAATGATCTACTCATAGCATACGCTTTGCATATTTTAAATAAAAGCGAAATTTCTTATACGGTTACTGAAAAAAAACTACTTGCTATTGTTTGGGCAATCAAACATTTTAGGCCATAATTATATGGTATTAATATTTTAATTCAGACAGACCACAATTGTTAACTATGGCTTTATAACTTAATAGATTTTGACTCAAGATTTATGACGTGGAGATTAAAATTATTAGAATTAAACTATGATATTTTTTTTAAAAAAAGCGTGAATAATACTAGAACTGATGGCCTTTCAAGAACGTCACAAAACATAAAAGAATGAATTATTAATGTTGCCGCCTGAGCTGTTCTAAAAAATCCAAAATAAAAATGAGGAATAGAACTCCGCCGCACGGCTTAAAATAGGGACAACTAATAATCAACAAAAATTTCTTAATCAATTTAAAATTTGTTAAATGAAAAATATTTTTTGTTAATCCAAAATAAGATTGTTTAACTTAATAAATATAACGAAATAATTCAAATAACAAACAATTTTTTATTATTACTGAATTAAATAATTTATAAATATGATAATTCATACTACTTACATTTAGTTATGCTCCATATGAATAAAATTAATTTATAACAGTAATACAATACCCGCAGTTTTACTGTAATAATATACCAGCCAATGTAAAAGAAAAAAAAAATGAAAACAACTGTATGCCTTTAAAAAATAATATGGATAATGTATTTTGATATAAAAATTGAACAACGTTTCTTTCTTTCAATAATACAAAAAAATAACACTTAACTAACAAGCCAATTTAACCTAACTGTATAATTTTACAACAGGTACATACATTATATTTTGAATAAAAAACGGCCGAACAACACAGACCGCTGATAAGGCGTCCTAACAGCTGATAGCGCACAAGCACTACCAGCTGACCACACCCAACCAGTGCAGCTCTCACACTTGGCGCGAACAAATAATAATAACAACTTCGAATTTAATAATAATATTACTAATTCTTTTATAATTAATAGTTATAGTAGTTTTATAGAAACTCATAATAAACAGTCAATTTTATACAAAAATATTATATATTCTAATGATGCAGTTAAAACAGCTAAAATTAAAAATATTGTCTTATTCTGATTAAATCTGTTTATATAAATGAAAAATTTGAATTTAGAATATTATTAGTCCTACAACTATAGTAAATCGAAATGAAATTAGTATAGAAAATATAAATGAAGAATTCAACATTTTAGAGATTAAGACTTTATAAAAATGATAAATTATTTTTTACAGTTAAAATAAAACCAGGAGGCTTAAGTGGAAGACCTTTAAAAGATAAATCAACCAAATTGATCTCAGATTTCTATAAACTAACTAATGGTAAACTTTGAATCTAATGGTTTGAATCTAAACCTAATGAAAATTATAAACAATCAATAAAATATATTAATTTATTTTATAATTTTATTTAAGATTCTTTTTTATAAGATATTACAAATCTAATTTTTAGTTATTAATTTTAGCTTTAAGCTGAGGAAGACCTTGTTTGCAATAAGGTTTGCTTTTCCCTTCTACGTCATCTTTTGTAACATGTACACTAATAATATTATTTCCTGGTATTTCAAACATTGGTTCTAAAAGAATGGATTCCTAAAATATTGATTGATTTTTATATATTAAAAATAATAAACATAATGAGTTTTACAATGCATCTAATAAATTTATAAATCTTATTATACAAATGATACTTTTAAAATATAGTGCTGAAGTTACATTTAAGAGGTCTAGATACAAATTAATAACAGGTTCTCTAAAGATATTTCACTTGCTAAAAAATATTTTAATTTATTAGCATGTAGTCAAGTTTTTAGGGTATTATGTTTAATTAGCTATTCAAGTTTTTTGACCTATTAATAGACATATTGTTTAAAAATTAATCACACAAAATGACAGAGAAAGAAAATTGCACAGAAAAATATTGTAGTAAAATTATTAACTTTTCAGATTTTCTTAAAATGTAACCAAATTTGAAATAAAAAGTCATAGGTAGACTTATTATAATTTTCCAAGTATGGTAAAAATGTGAGGCTTCCAAAATCCTTGGAATATTGAAGTTGGACGAACAATCGACATTTAAAGAACGTATTACTGAATTGTTAACACAAAAACGCGTTTACCAATTTCATAGTGATAACAAATTTATATTGTATTTAATAATATTAACACATTATTTAAGATGTTTGGGATCCAAATTAGTATTCTTTGTTGTATATATTTATACTAAATACTATAAAAAAAAGAAATGATATTCCTATCGAATTAGTAGAAAGCTCCTTAAATGTAAAACCAAGTTCAATTATAAAATGACCTAAATCTGAAAGAATAATTTATTGCAATATATATAGATAGATAGATGTAGGTTACTACTAATTTTATAATATTTTAAAATATATTAGATGTTTATTTATGTAAAAAAAACTATGAACTATGTAATCTATGTATTAAACTTATATCAAATTTGCTATGTAACCTGTTGTGATTCAAATGTATTAGGTATTAAAATTATAGATATTATTTTTCTCCGGGGCACATGGTGTCATGAACCCATAACTATATGTAAATATTAGTTTTAAGGAATTTGTATTATTAGAAAGTAAAAGTAAATAATAGATTATTATTAATTGCATTAGAAAGTATAACACTAGAAGCATTGTTAATTGTATTGTTAATTGATTATTATTTCTAATAAAAAGGGACCTGACCACTCATTCGGTGGTCAGTGTACAATCGATGAATGTTACATTATAGTTATTATTTCATGGTGATCAAATTGGACTTGTAACGCCTAGTTACTACATTAATGTACTGCGGTGGTAAGATATTATAATTCGATTTGCTTATACTTAAGATATATCATGCTTATCACATTGATAAGTATGATAAGGGCAGTTTAAAATTTTTATTTTTTCTTATATAACACAACACGGTGTTAATTGTAAAAGATTTATGTAGTATCGTTACGCACTTTTATAGGTACATTGTAATAAATATTTTGTATATTGTTAATACCTTAAAGATTTAATTACTAATAAAATTATGATATTCTTATCAGTATCAGTTGTCTTCTAATCATTTGTAACTAACGGAAAGTTAATTTTCTAGATAATTACTTTTAAAAATAAAGAATTTTCATTTATAGATTTTTTATTTCCCGTGATCATTAATGAAATACCGATTAATATATTTTACTTAACATTATTCGATTCACTTAAATTACGTATCATCCACCAAAAATAATCTTAAAAACTTTAGCAGTCAACTGGAGTACCGAAATATTTATTTATTAAGTAATTAAGAAAGATGACTTTTGAATTATAATCTATCATTTGATATAAAAATAGTTATATTAGTTCATATATAAATGCTAATATTGAATCCAAATTTTATTTTTCTAAAATATTTGACTATTTATAAGGCAATTGTATATTTCAGTTGTTTTAAATATTTATTTAAAATTCTTATAATAATTATACTTCATTGGTATAATTGTTTTTTAGATGATGTTAAAATCTATATTTAAAGTTACATCTGGAGGGATGTTGTTGTTTGTTGGTTCTAACTTGCTGTCTTTAAATGAAACATTTTATAAAAAGTATATTATTCCAACAATTTTCTTGCTGGAACCAGAAAATGCACATAATTTTGTAATTTTTACTGGAAAGTATGGACTGATTCCAAAATCATTCTATCAAGATCCTACATCATTGGTAAGTTAGATACTTTAGATTCACTGGAGTAATTTGTAAAAAATAGACCTTATTATTCTATCAAAACACTTTTCTATATTCAATAGAATACAGAAAATTTTACACTATATATATATACAATACAGAAATGAGATTTCAATTAAAATCATAGTCAAATTTTGTAAGCACAACTTTTTAAACCAAGAAATTTTTTAATTATCATTTTATTTTATTATTTTTTTAACTCATTAATACTTAGTAATATATAAACAGTTTGACTTTAAGAAAATAGATAAGCATTTTACTTGAAAGCTAAATTAGTTTAATGATTTATCATTGAAGAAGTAATTAATAATATTAATTGCATTCTATTTGTATTAATACTCCTATATTATTTTTGTACTTTTAATTTTTTTTTAGAAAACAACTTTATGGAATATAAATTTTAAGAACCCCATTGGATTAGCTGCAGGATTAGATAAACAAGGCGAGGCAATTAAATCTATGCACAATGTTGGATTTGGATTTGTAGAAATCGGATCAGTTACTCCTTTTCCTCAACCTGGAAATGAGCTTCCTAGAGTATTTAGAATAATTAATAAAGATGCTGTTATCAATAGGTATTGACTTTTTAATTATATATTTAAAATTGAGATAGCCTACATAGTTCAATTGCGTACTCAATGCTTAGGTATTGAGATTTGATTCTGTTGCCCTGAGCTTGTAGGTTTTCTGTCCTTTCTAGAACAAGGAATAATTTTCAAGCAGGAAGTTAAATATAAATTTTTAATAATTATTATTTAAATATATATACTCATAATATTATTAATTTAAAAATTATATTAGGTATGGATTTAATAGTGATGGTCATGATGCTGTTTATGAAAGAATTGTAAAACAAAAAAAAGATGATTTTGTAATTGGTGTAAATTTGGGGAAAAATAAAAACTCTGAAGATGCCAAAACTGATTATGTTAAGGGTATTGAAAAATTTTCATCAGTTGCTGATTATTTTGTTATTAATATTTCTAGGTAAAATTTAGTAAACAATTTTTAATTAAGTTGTAATTAAAAATTATAGTCTAATTTAACTTTATTAAGATTAAAGGTAGATATTCATTAAACTAGAGAAATTAAAGAAAAATTTTGATAAAAAAAATAATAATCAATATAAATTTTAAAACGTTATTTTATATAATAAAATTACATTTTTAATTAATTAAAATTTTTTTAATAATAATTTTATATTTATTAAAAAAATTTTTTTCAGCCCCAATACTCCAGGACTACGAAATCTACAAAAAAAAGATGATTTGAAAAATCTCTTATCAAGTGTGATTGAAGCTAGAAATAAAAATTGTAAAAAACATAAATTAACGCCTTTGCTCCTGAAAATTTCCCCGGATTTATCAGATCAAGACAAAAAAGATATTGCTGGTGTTATTCTTGATGAAAAGGTAATTGTAAATAAAAAAAATAGAAGGATTATTTTCAATTTTTTTATAAAAAATGACACTAATATTTTATTTTAGTGCCGTGTAGATGGTTTGATAATTTCAAACACTACTGTTGAAAGAGATGGTGTTTGTGATTGTCCTAATGGATTAGAACCAGGAGGCTTAAGTGGAAGACCTTTAAAAGATAAATCAACCAAATTGATCTCAGATTTCTATAAACTAACTAATGGTAAACTTTTATTATTATTTGAAAATGTTGCTAAAAAAACAATTTAAAGTATCTTGATAATTTTGAATCTGTGGCACGATATCTTGTGATTTAGTTAATGTTTTTGTTATACAAAACAAAATATTAAAAAAAATTGTTTTTGTTTAACTACAATTAATTTTCAAAATAATTAAGAGTTTAATTATCTGTTTTTAGGTAAAATCCCTATAATAGGCGTTGGTGGAATATTTAATGGTCAAGATGCTTATGAAAAAGTTAGGGCTGGTGCTTCACTTTTGCAAATATATACATCATTTATTTATAATGGTCCACCAATTATAACAAAAATAAAAAAAGAGTTAGAAACCCTTTTAAGGTAAAGTTGAATATTTTTTATTACTTTGTTAAAATTTTATTACATTTACTAAGTTGAAATATTCTTGAATTAGCGGTTCTTTTTAATTTATGTTTTTTATAATTAATTTGTAATGTAGTAACTTATTTTAATATATTGTTAAATACCCTGAGAGGTGTATTTGATTATATGTAGTTCGTTACTGCCACGCGTATAGTGGAAGGTTTAATTATCTGTATACTAAGTGTATCTATTTAATTGAAAAGTTGACTATAATACATTTGCAGCTTACACGAATGCGTGTTAATCATTTTTAATTGACCAATAATTTTATATTAGCCTATCTTTTTTCATAAAATAAGTTAGGTTATATCAGGTTGCTGACCAGTGCACTTCCTTCTAAGAATAACTAAGCCATTGTCTATTACCTAGCACGTTGCTCTGATGTCATTAATTGTACCTTGTACTTGTTACATTTAAAGAATAAATACTAGAAATTATATTTAAATGGTTTAATATTTTTCATTCTACTAACTCTTTTACACATTTTTTTTAAGGGAGAACAACTATAAGTCAATATCTGAAGCTGTCGGCGTTGATTCAAAATAAATTTTTGGTATACAATATCAAAACGTTAATTTTAAATATTGTTTGAGTTATTAATTTTTTAATTATTATAGTTGTTATTTTTTGACAAAAATTAATAAAAATTGTTATTAGTTAATAATTATCTCAATTGATTTTTTTTTATATTAATAAGGCATAAAACCTGTACAAAGATAACAAATTACAGCTATAATTTTAATAGGATAAAATATAAAGTCAATTATGAAAAATATATTTATTATATAAATATACTAAGTATAAATTATATTTAGTAAGGTTGCTAAAAATTATTTAAAATTGATAGAATACAAAAAATCAAATGATTAAAGTCTAGTTGTAAAAATTGAATACAACCATATTGTATGTAAAACCTAATGAAAATTATAAACAATCAATAAAATATATTAATTTATTTTATAATTTTATTTAAGATTCTTTTTTATAAGATATTACAAATCTAATTTTTAGTTATTAATTTTAGCTTTAAGCTGAGGAAGACCTTGTTTGCAATAAGGTTTGCTTTTCCCTTCTACGTCATCTTTTGTAACATGTACACTAATAATATTATTTCCTGGTATTTCAAACATTGGTTCTAAAAGAATGGATTCCTAAAATATTGATTGATTTTTATATATTAAAAATAATAAACATAATGAGTTTTACAATGCATCTAATAAATTTATAAATCTTATTATACAAATGATACTTTTAAAATATAGTGCTGAAGTTACATTTAAGAGGTCTAGATACAAATTAATAACAGGTTCTCTAAAGATATTTCACTTGCTAAAAAATATTTTAATTTATTAGCATGTAGTCAAGTTTTTAGGGTATTATGTTTAATTAGCTATTCAAGTTTTTTGACCTATTAATAGACATATTGTTTAAAAATTAATCACACAAAATGACAGAGAAAGAAAATTGCACAGAAAAATATTGTAGTAAAATTATTAACTTTTCAGATTTTCTTAAAATGTAACCAAATTTGAAATAAAAAGTCATAGGTAGACTTATTATAATTTTCCAAGTATGGTAAAAATGTGAGGCTTCCAAAATCCTTGGAATATTGAAGTCTGATTGCAGTGTATGCCCATCAAACCCGGTATTAGATGCTGTTCAATTTTAAGCATAGGAAACAGTGGTGCCAATCACTTTTATTAAGTACGCTAGTAGTCATAGTATTTCTAAGAGGTGGGTGGATACTAATACACTATACACAGTGACTCATTTATTATACTTTAATTAGTAAAAATTAAAAATAGTATTGAGATTTTTTATTTAGGTATATATTTTTCTCAATTTTTTTTTTATCGCTTTTAACGCCTATTAAGAGCCGTTGCGGCCTTTCCCAAAGGAAGAGATTTCTAAATTATTGATACCCCAGGACGGGTGGTTACTCTGTCGCCAAATAGAGGGATGGCAACTCCAATTACCCAACTGATCTCTTGTACAGCAAATGAAGTCGATCATAACCGAGTTTCTAACCCAAGCGTCTAGTACTGTCACATTATCGACTTGGCCACACCATTCCTCAATTTTTCAATTTAGCAATCATTACTATAATATTATAAACCACTCAATTACTTTTAAAATAATTAATATTTTTGTATTTTCCAATTACACATAATTCTGGATTTATTTACTATAAAATATTTTTTAGTAGTAATATTTTTTTACAAAAATGTATTTATTTTAAACATATATATTTAACCAGCTTATAAATTAGAAATTATTGTAATTAAGAAAATGACTGGTTGATAAAAATTTTTGAACTAGTATTTCAGAAGTTATTAACATTTAATAACGATGGTTGGAGGTGAGACACGGGTGTTGTTTTTTTTTATCACAAATTATTATTAAAGAATTCTGAAATAATAAAAATCAAAACATCTAAAAGTTGTTATTGATCAACCATTTTCTTATATTTAATACTTTCTATTATTATAAGCTTATTAAATATATGTTTCCATTAAAAAGTTGATATTCCTGTAACGCTAAGGAATGAACCAAAAATGTACTTAATAGTGCTGAAATTAAGAATTCCATGTAACTAAAAAATACAAAAGAACAAATTCTCAAAATTATTATTTTATGTGTAATCAAGTGGTTAATGATTCACAAATCACTCTGTATAATCAGAACTTTTCAGTTTAAAATAAAATCTGTTAATATTCTAAAAGAAAAAATCAATTTACAATTGCCTCATTTTACCTGTACGGTTGGGTATAGGGATGAACAAGAAAAGTAACTCATAATTGATAAATTAAGAAAATCATGTTTCTAAAAAAAATCAGAAAAACAAATTCTTAATATGAATCTTATTTTATGATTAAATTAAATGGTTGGTGATAAATGAATCACTCTGCATAGTGCTTCTTCATAATATAACTTGTGCACAATTTTGTTGTATATTTTGATGGATGTCTAGAAAACAGTGAATGAGTGCCAAGGCATAGGTAATTGTAACATTTTTTTAGAAAATTCTTCTCCATTACAGATTTTATACATTCACCTTATAGATTATAATTGTCTTAAGCATTCTTTACACCCAAATTCCCTCATTTATAAAAAAGTGATGTTTAAATAATCATACAACATATGTTGTACATATATTACCACTATTGCTCGTAAACCTCGCGCTCCTATCTTTTTTTCAAGAGCTTGCATTGCAATTGCATTTAGAGCATCATCAGTAAAAGTTAGTTCAACTTTATCCAGTCCAAACAGCAGTTTATATTGATTGATAGCGCTATTTTTTGGTTCAGTTAAAATTTGTACCAGTAAATTTCTGTTTAAAGAATGAAATGGTACAAGTATTGGAAATCTTCCAACAAATTCCTAAAAATAAAAAATTGTTTTTATTATATTGAACATTATTTTATATTATAACGTAATAAGACATACACTAAAATTTATATCATAATTGTTGTTAATTCTAAGATGGGTGATTACTAGGGCACATTTTTGTAGTATTTAAAAATACTCCATCCTTAGTCCAAAAAGTTATGAAAATTTAACTTGCCCTTAGATAGTAGTAGAAATAAAATTGGCTGATGTCAAACAACCTTCTAGATGTTTTGTTACAATAAGGCTGAACTTTTAATTAAAAATACTACTTAATTATAAGATTAATAATTAAATATAGTTTGGCAATTTATTCGGTCGTTTGAGAAACATCATAAATCACATTTATTAAATTTTTAGCTGTTATAAATGAAATGTTTCCATAATTACTTTGTACCAAAATAATTTTGGTATAAAAATAGTACTTTACTTTCTCAATTAAATACTTATAACTGGAATAATTAAAGAGTATATGGAGTTCAAAAGCTTTATCTAAATCTATTTTTATCGTAAAAACTAATTGTTAATGGTATTAATTTTTTTATACTGTTATAATTAGATAAAAAAATTTTATTATAAAATAATTTTTTACAATTATTATTTTTCGACTTTAAGAAGAAAATTTAACTTATGATATTTTTTAAATAACAGGCAACAAATTACAAAACTGTTTTTACTATTTACAATTATTTCATAAATTTTATATATATATTTTATGCTCATCCCAAATCTGGTTTGAGATTTTTTTAATTAAATGATAATTACACAGAAAAATCATCATAAAAATATGAAAATTTTTTCAACTCTCCTAAAATGATTTCATGATTTTTAATAAGAGATATGCAAATTACACATATTATTTGTAATGAATTTACTGTGTAATTATCGTTTAACTATTAATTAATAATTATCTTAAAAACACAATGTAGTAGAAAAAAATCTGGAGCCACATTCGGAATCAGTTTCGAAAGTCCTTATTGAACTCATATAAAATTTTTATTTTTATTATTATTTTTAATTGTAAATAAGAAAATGGTTGTTGTCCTGTATAATCGACTCAATAATAATCAAGGTATAAAATACTAATAAAAATAATTCATCTAACTATAATGACTTGAAAAACATTATTTTAAATGAAATTCATTAAAATAACTTACAGGAATCATACCAAATTGAATAAGATCTCTAGGAGCCACATTTCTTAATAAATTATCTCTTTCAGAATTTTCTTTTTCCACATCATTATGATCTATTACAGGTGTATTTTTAAAATTGTTATCAGAAGATTTTTTTTTGTTTTCTATTGATTTATCAAGATCAGATCCAAAACCAAAACTCTGTTAAAAATAAAAAATTTTATTGTAAAAGGTATCTTAATTTATATTTGTAATACTTGAAATAATACTTGCATTTTTATTAATTCTGTGTCCTATAAGTTTATCAAGACCAGTAAATGCACCAGAAGCCACAAATAATATATTAGTTGTATTTACTTGCATAATTTCATTACGAAATCTTCTACTCTTTTCTTGTACATTAACAACTGTGCCTTCAAGCATCTACAAAAACGTGGAACATGAATTTTTTTCGACTTTCATGTGAACCTGAGAAGGTATTTTACTATGATATGCTTTTTATTTATTAAATTTTATATTTGTTTTTTCTTTATTTATACTCAATGATTCAATAAAACATTTTTTGTTTTTATCTGATGACATTCTTAATTAAAAAAAAATTCTTTCGACTCTCGTAAATAAGGGAAAACTTTCAAAATTATAGCTTTATACATTTAATGTTTTTTTACTTTTTATTTAAAAATAAAAAGGGTCACTACAAAACAACATAACACTAATATTAAAATTTTCAAGGAGAATAACAATTTGTTTTTTATTTAAATATTAATAAAAATTATAATATTCTGTCAAAAAGTCTTCTTCTTCTTCCTCGCCCAACTCCTTGGGATCGGCCACCCTTATTCTAAACTTCCATTTGACACGATCTCCCACATCCTTTACGCTCACATCAGCTGTCCTCATATCGCAATCAATAACATCTCTCCATCTCTTTTTTGGTCTTCTTCTACCTCTTCTTCCTTTCAACATTCATTTCTATAACTGTTCTTACGGCTCCCAATTCTTCTCTTCTCATAACAACCAAACTATCTAAGTCTATTTTCTTTCATCTTATCCACGATTAACGTTACACCTATACTCCCTCTTATATGCTCATTTCTTATCCTATATTCTCTAGTCACTCCACTTATCCATCTAACCATTCTCATCTCTGCTACACTCATTCTCTACTCTACTTTCTTATCAACCGGCCAACACTCTGAATCATACATCATAGCTGGCCTCACTACAGTTTTGTAGAATTTACCTTTCAGTCTCATAGGAATTCTTTTATCACATAAGACACCAGACGCTTTTCTCCATTTCAATTACCCGCACTTAATCCTGTGTCTTACATCCTCGTCAATACCACCGCTCTATTGCACAACTGATTCTAAATACTTAAAACTTTCCACCTCTCCAATTACGTCCTCGCTTATTGTCACTGGTCTCCTTATTTCACCTACCTCGTGTTCTCTTTTATCAAACTCGTACTCTATATAGTCTGTCCTACTTCTACTTATTCTTAAACCCTTTTTTTTTAAGAGCTGATCTCCACATCTCTAACCTTTGATTAATATCCTACCTATTTTCTCCTATTAACACTATATCATCAGCAAACAACATGCACCACGGCACTTCTCCTTGTATTTCTCAAGTAATTTCATCCATCACCATAGAAAATAAGGAAGGATTCAAAGTAGAACCCTGATGCACTTCTACTCTAATCCGAAAACGTTCCGTTACTCCTCCCACAATTTTTACCCTGGTACAATTGCCATCATAAATATCCTCTATTATATTAATGTATCTTTTTGGGACTCTTTTTCTCAATTGTAGTATTACATTTTAATACATGTAATAATTAATTCTTATACTTAATAAAATATATTACCAAATCAGTGTTCCCCCGTGGATAAGATGAATAATAAAATAATACCCTTACACAAGATTTAACCACCCTCTTACGCATTTCATAAAACGCCTACGTAAAAGATTCATCACATTAACCAATCAAATACAACAAAAAATATTTCAAGAATCTCACCAGAGATCGCTAAACCAGTTTTGCGCGCTATAAAAAGGCCATTTTCCCCCAAATTCGGGTGGTTATGTACGGGTTCTGAACATCCCTCTTGCTGACACTGGGACGCCTTGCCACTTTGCAAACCCAACCCAACCCAACCCAACCCAACCAANCTCTTGCTGACACTGGGACGCCTTGCCACTTTGTCTCTGCGTCTCTAAGGCTCTCTGGAACTCTGAAATTCTCAATCAAGATACACAAATTGAATGTGCGTTAATGTATGTTTCGCTCTTAGTTACAATTCTATATCAAATCTGCACGATTTTTATGCTCCTTTCATAATCACTGGAATTTACGAGAAATATTATAAATCTTATTTTCGGTTGAATACTTTTGTGATTCAAATATTCTAACACATATAAAATATTGGTATTTATTTATTTTAGCTTCGAAGCGAAGCTAAGAAGGTATTGGTTTTACTATGATGTGTTTTTTTTTTTTTGTATCACTTTTTCTCAGCTCTCACCGAACGGATTTCTTTCAACGATACGTCAAAAGATTACAAATCGTATCTAGTCGAAGACATTACCCTCAAAAATTGAATAACTTTCCCTCGTTTCCCGTAAATGGGGGAAACCTCCAAAAAAATTACAATTTTAAAAATCGCTAATTTTCGAAATTTTTTCAATTTTTTTTACTTAAAATTGCTATAACTTTTTAAAAAATGAATATATGAATATAATTTTTATTTTATAGATGCTTGATGTCTTTACCTATCATTTGGTATATTTTTTTTGTAAATCTGACACTTAACCTGCCCACAGGGGGGATTTAAAATGACAACTTTTTCAACATAACTTTTGAACATTTTCCGCAAGGTCTGATACTTTTATATATATCTTAAATTAAAGCTAATGTAATGTACTATATTATGGAAAAAAAAAATTCGGACTTTATTTTGTCTTCACGGTTTAAATAGTTACCTAATGCTATTTTTGTGTGAAAATTCTCGATTTTATTTATTACATTTTTAACTTAATAATGCTATGACATATTAAAAAGTGTATGGATCAACATTATTTTTTTATGAGAAATAATATTTTTTAATAATCTCTTTTTCATTCGACATACTTTATCTTAATCAGGATATTGATAAGGAACTAGCAGATCATGTAGCTTTTGGAATAATCTATCAATTTTTTAAATTTAAACACTATCTAAAGATTTGCATTGAAGCGTTTTTTTTATAGTGATTTTAATCACTGTTAGATATTATTATACTTGATCCAAATATGCCACGTCACCACTGTGCCGGGTTTTTTTTTTATTTGCATAAAAAAATATACACACTAAAAAAAATACATGACTAGATTGAATTGTATCTTTTATTTATTGAAGGGCTATAACCTGGCTGGACAGGGTATTAGTACAATAATATCATAATTCAAATTTTAGTTAATCACAAGACTTCTCCAAAGTGTCTCTCCACTTATCGACTAGCTAGCCTAATCTCTGCCACAGCGCGGGCCATCGGAGTGTAGGACACTAGTATAATCAATTGTGAAAAGGACCGAAATTGAGCTCGCATCTACCTTAGATCACTCTTTGGACTGAAAAGATGTAGGCCATTTGGAAATAGTTTATTGCACAGGACAGTTATATTCTTTAGAATTTCTTTATTGGTTTTATAAATTATTAGATAGTAAATGCATTAGTGTAAAACACCACACACAACGTAAAGACTATACCACATAAATATACAAAAGGGTTTTACATAAAATACCAGAGGTATAATAAATTTAGATTTCACCTTGAGTAGATTTAATAAAGAATTGTACTAGAAAAGTAGTACACCGACGCATATACGTACATATCAATAATAGTTACATCAACTATATGATTCATCTCAAGAAAATATTTGTCTTATCAGGATAATCAGAGGTAAGTGAAAACATTTATTTATTTAACAAGTCTATAATAAACCGTTCACTGAAGAATTTTTAGTAATAAACAATTAGAATAAGATAGGTCATCGAGAATTAACTAAAATATTTTTATAAAGAAATACGATATTTGTGACTCGCCAAAAATTCGTGTACGAGTTTCCGTGCAGAAGTTAAGTAATGACCCTTCTTTGTAATTCCATCTTATTCAAATATTAGACGTGTTCATGCAAGCATACATACCCCGAGATCCCTTTCATTTTATTATAGTCACTGCCCAGTATTTATAGCCACTTTTACTTTCCATTGCTGTCCATCCTTCTTTATACTACGCCCGCTACGACTCTTATTTCCTCATTGGCCACCTACGGTACATCTCTTTTCCTTCCTTACTCCAACCTGAATTACTTTTGTTTACTACAAGCGTCTCTCACTACTCCCCTTTTCTCCTACCTTCCTAAACACCACAATCTATATTTTTATTTCTTTTTGTTTATTACACATTAATGCCCACTTTAGACTCTGTCTCGGTACTCTGTCATATTTTTTATTCTCTTATCTATTACCTTTTCCTAAATTTTCATACTATTACTCAGAAGCTTTTTGCCTCTATAATTTCCATACTCCTGTTTGTCACCTTTACCTTTAAATATCGATACTACAATACTATTCTTCCATTCATTTGGAATTTTCTCTTTTAATAAGATTTTAATTAAAAGTTCCTTCTACCACCTTATGCCAACACTACATAATATTTTCAATACTTCTACTGGCACTTCATCTGGTCTCACTGTTTTATTCTTTTTCATTGATGCCGCAGCCTTCGATACCTCTTTCTCACTAATTAAATCTATCAGTCCCTCATTCCACAAAATATCCTCTAACGTCTCTTTTGGATACTCCTCATTCAGTAATTTTTCATAATACTCTTTCCACCTTTTTTCACGTCATCATCACTCTCGAGTACCTTATTATCAGCACTTTTTATGCACCTTATATTATGATAATCTTTAGTCCTTTTCTCTCTTACTATTGCAAATCTGTAGATTTCTTTCTCGCCTTTCTTTGTTCCTAGCCTATCATACAACTCATCATACCTCTTTAACTTCGCTTTACTTTCTGCACACTTGGATTCTTTGTACAAGCGTTTATACTCCATCAAATCTTCTCTGCTTTTGCTCTTCTGCCATACTTTGAATTGCTTTTTCTTACTTTCTATGATTTTTTGAACATCCTCATTCCACCACCAGCTTTTCTTGTTTTCTGGCATTCTACTCCTACTATCACCAACAATCTCCTTTGCAATATTCTTAACATAACTAGCAAATCTAATCCACAGTGTCCTCTCTTTTTCCGTCATGATAAACTCTTTTTAATTTTCCCCTTTCAATTTCCACAAACGAATTTTCGATTTTTCTACAGTGTTTTTTCTATTTTTTGTATATTCTTTTTCCGGTACACCAAAACTCCATTACCATCAGTCTATGCTGTGTAATTAGACTCTCGCCTCGTATAACTTTACGATTCTTTACTCGCTTTACGCTCTCTCTTTTCCACATAAAATAATCAATCTATGATCTATTGCTACCACTCTTATAAGTTATATAATTTTCTTCCCTCTTTCTAAAATAAGTATTAATCACAGCAAAATTATACGATACTGCGAAATCTAGGATTCATTCTCTATCTTCATTGTTCCCATTAAAACCATACCCTCCATGTACTCTTTCATATTCTCTACTCTCATTATCTACATTTCCATTCTTATCTCCCCACCTATCACCGCATCCTCATTGCCAGGTACCCCTTGCATCACCTCATCCATCTTTCTCCAAAACACTTCCTTGTCTATTTTATCACATCCTACTTGTGTTGCCTATGCACTTATTACATTCATCACTTTTTCCTCGAAAATCAATTTTTTTTTTCATTTTTATTTTGATTTTCGAAAAACTATAATTCTGTCACTTTTCCTAGCTACTTCTACTACTTTACTTTTCATTTCCTCATCCATTACTATCCCTACACCATTCTTTGCACTATATTTTGCTGAGTATATTATTTTATAACCCTCACTTATTTCTTTTGATTTCTCTCCTTTCACCTTAGTTTCCTGCACACAACAAATGTTAACTTTTCTCGTTTTCAATACTTTTACTAATTCTCTACTTCTACCAGCTAATGTTCTAACATTCCAAGTACCTATTCTTACTTTGTATCTATCTATTTTTTCCTCCCTCATACACAAGTCCAGCCTAGAGTTAAGTGGTGATGTCCCCACACTGTTGACACTGCAAGCGTTGAATAGACCTGTACACATGGCTGGTGAAACAGCTACTGCACAAGTTATCCAGCTGATATCAAAAACTTTATTCCTTAGGCCTTCTCCGTTTTTAACTACTTTTAGTTCTCCCCGCGTACATCCGATGGGACAATCCTCCTAAGTTTTGTTCAGAATTCCTCATACTATTTTGACAATAATTTTGATCTGACGCAATCTCATTAGTCGCCTCTTACGACTGGCAGAGGGGCCGTGGAATTATTCTTAGCCCCTATCCACAAGGAAAATTCTGCCAAAAAGTAAATTTTCAAAAATAATTATAAAAAAATTTATAATTATTTTGATTCAACCTAGAATTATAATTAAGAGCAATCAGTTTTCCTTATGCATTATAGTGATTTCATAAACATATCTCTCGTATCGTGTTTTCTTGTAGAGCGCTACAACAAAACTCAACTAATAGGTTAAGTAGTAAGACTCCTATCGTATCTATTAATTGCTCAGTTGATTTTTCCCGTGTCTTACATTGTAACCTGATTTATTAGAAAACAAAAATATTCATATTTTTTTGTAAAATTATTAACTTCATGTCATCATAATTTATGAGGATGGTTTGTGCAAATAAATACAGTATAAATGATATTGTGTGTTGTATATTGATACTGGATAATTGTTTTAATCTATTTTTAAACATGTTTGTTATTATTAAAGAAAATAATTTTTAAAATATAAATTAATTACTTTTAACATTCCTTGTTGAACACCTTCTCCTCCTACATCTCTCAACTGATTGTGTCCTTGCCTTGCTCCAATTTTATCGATTTCATCCAAGAAAACAATACCTAAAAACTTAAATCTAATTAATTTATAAATGTAATAACTGATTTATTTTTTACCTGTTTGTGCTTTTTCAACATCATAGTTTGCTGCTTGAAGTAATTTTGCAATTACACTTTCTATGTCTTCTCCAACATAACCAGCTTGGGTAAGATTGGTGCAATCACAAATTGCAAATGGTACATCCAAATGTTTTGCAATAGTTTGTGCTAAAAGTGTTTTACCTAAAATTATTTATAAAAAATTTAATATCTTTCAAAAAAATAAAATTTAAGTATAGTGGGTAATCACTAAAATAGTAACAAATATAGAATAATTAATATAATAAAATAATCAATTATGAGTCATAAATATCAAATTAGGTCTTCTGTCTTATAGAAATTGGAGGGTGATTCGGTCACATTTTTTGCACATATCTTGTTTGGGCTGATAATGTCTAACAGTTGGGTCAAAATTTGAGCATATTTAGATTATTATTGATAATAATTATTTTTGATATCCAGAAACCCGACGACAACGTAAACAAAGATATTTTACGTCGTGTTACCATCTACTTGATGGATACTCAATATCTCTCGTATCTACATCTCATATATTATTAATAAACCTCGTTATTCGTTGTTATTTGATTACACTATACTTTAATTAGTACGACTGTCAGTTGTTTCTTTAAGGAGATATAAATTAATTAGAAACTTTTAATACTCAAGATTGATAAACTGATGTATTAAGAGTTTCAGCGCACGGGGGTAGTTTATATTTGATGTCCCTGTAAACATTTTTTTCAGATTACTTTAAAAACAATATTTGGTTACCCCACTGATAATAACCCATACATCTCACTTATCAAAAAACTTAAAATATGTTTAAATGCATACAAACAGAAATTATAAATAACATTACATTAATTTTTACCAGAGTTTTATTGGGTTTATCAGCTCAGACGCCCCCAAAATTTCTAGAGTGCCCTTTTTGTTGTGTCCTAAGGCAGCTGTCATAGATGTATGTAGACACGCTACTGAGTAAATGTAGTCTAAATAGCTATCCAATTGTGGGTTCCTTGGATTATTGTTGACGGGCATATGGTGCTCGTACTTAAATAGTACAAAATGATTCAAAATTATACTTCATAATAATGTACTAGTTATTATTTAGTATAACTGGTAAGCGTTAATAATCATTAAATACAATCTTTAAATGTCGTGTTCTTAGTAAAAACTACATAAACTAACATAAAATTTAAACAAAACTGATATGCACAAACCAAAATCATATCTTACTCAAAACTATGCGAGTGGATTTTAAAAATAAAAGCTCATAACTCGGTCAAAAACAATAGATTTCAACGCAATTTTCAAGGTACACTTAGAATGTCTCTGAGCAGTCCAGGTAAAAATTTCAGATTTTAAATCGAAAAACGATGGTGGCAATGAGTGTTTATGATAAAAATTTTTAAACGCTCAGAGTTTGCTAAAAAAAATTTTCTTATCTTCGCGAATAATTTTTCCAGAATAACGTCGTCTAGCTTTTTCATAAAAAAAAAAAAAAAATCGAACATCGTTAAGTAATTTTTCCAGCATTGGCTGATTTTTCGATATTGTATAATAAGATAATTAGGTAAAACGAAATTTATTTTTTTGTTATTTAAAATATTTGACACATTTCAATAACCAACACAAATAATTAATGAATAAAAAAAATGTATAATTAATAATTATTCTTACCACATCCTGTTGGTCCAAGCAGTATTATATTACTTTTTTCTAAAGAGGTATTTTTGAGAAGTATAGTAAATTTGTCATCCTCATTATTGTTATTTGAAGTATCCCATCGTGGCATTTCTAGAGTATGATTTACACTTATGTGTTCTAAAATTCAGTAAAAATAGTTTTTTAAATTATCATGAGATTTTGATACCAGTCTAAACAGTTAATAAAATTTACAGAATAAAGAGGATATTAATTTTCAACATACTATTATAAATACCTCTCAAAATTTGGTTATGATGATCTATTAATGAAAAAATAACAAACTCCTAAAAGTTTAATTTTAAGTTAGCGTAAGATGTATACACATTTTACAATATTCGTAAATTAAAATCTTAGTTTTACATCAGTTTACGAATGCCCTTAAAAATTAATGACAGTATTAAGACATTATAAATGACATAATAAATAATAGTAAATAATTTATATTTGTGCAATTTATATTAAATGATTTTAAAATATGTTAATAGTTATGTAAGAAAAGACAGAAAAACACATATCCCTTTTAAGTATTAAAGCATAGTACACTTATCATGCCATCGGGTTACAAAATAAATAAACCATTTCATAAAAAATGAATACCTCTAGAATTTTGTAATTTATTTCGCAACTGCTGATCAATTGGGTCTTTTTTTATTGGTGTAGTCATATTATAAATAATTCGTTTACAATGATTATAAACTGCTACTGATAAAACTTTTTTGGCATAGTTTTGTCCTACGACATGCTTATTCAAATTCTCGTATATCTAAACATTTTTTTTAGAAATACACACAATTAATTTTGTTTAATATTAAATTGTATAGCAAGTAAGAAACTAATTCAAATAGTTTGTTGCAAAAATATGAGGTATTTGCCGAGATAATTAAGTCACTGGTATACTAGGAAAGCTCCCTGTGGGACTGTCATCTTATCACAAACTCCGATGAATTGAGACTTTTCAGTTTAATACATATTCAAAGGTTTTCAGAAAAAATAAATAAAAATTTTGGTACTTACCATTTTATTTTAAATTTTCATTTATTGATTTTATTCAAGGGTCGATTAAAAAGTATAAATACAATTTTTTTAGCCCAATAAATAATTTTTTTTTTGGTACTTTAGATGCATAATTACTTTTCCAAGTTGTTAAGTTTAATTTCAAACACTTAATTCATAGAAAAATGAGCTATGTAATTATTGCAATGTAGTTCTCTAACTACACCTCATTATTTGAAAAATAAAACCCAAAACAGTGGGGTCGCGGTACAGTAGGGATGTGACATAGTTGGGTCAAGTATCTGAATGGATTAAAATCACTCTCATAAAAAACGCATCGATGCAAATCTGTAGATAGTTTTTAATTTTAAAAAATTGGTAGATTATTCTAAAAGCTACATGATCTCCTATTTCCTTATTTATATACTGATTTCAAGTTTTATGATTTATAAGTGTAATATATGAATAAATATATAAATGTATATATATAAAGGGAAATGGTGTTACTTAAAAAAAAAGTATGTCAAATGAAAGATTTATATAAATACTACTCCTCATGAAAAAATTGTATTTGACACGGTCCCGCGGTGTTCTCGATACACGGAGCCCCGCGACCCGTGACACCTTTTTAGCCATCGCCTACTACGTGCATATGGTAGTTTGACTGACAAACACCGCGTGCGAAACGCCACGGTACAAAGTCCAGCAAGTGCCGCACGTCCATCTACGACCTGCCGCACGTCCATCTATGACCCGCCGCAAATATACGAAAAGTCATCTCCGTGACACCGTTCGACACACATCGGCCTTTTCATCATCGACACAATCAGTGCCTATCTCGTGTTTGTTTCCTTTTAACTTGTGTTTTTCTTTAGTTATTGTGTATATTATTTGTAATAACTATAAGTGTATTTATATATAACATATATTTTTACCTTGTTCGAATAAACGGCACCGCACTAACTCTGTAGCTGTAATCGTGTCGACTACATTATTTATCTATCATTATTACGACGTTTAAGTCCTGTCATATTGATCCATACATTTTTTAAAAAGTTATAGCATTATAAAGTTAAAAATGTAAAAAATAAAAGCGAGAATTTTCACACAAAATTAGCATTCGGTAACTATTTAAACCGTGAAGACAAAATAAAAACGGTAATTTTCTTTTTCCATAATAAAGTATATTACATTAGCTTTAATTTAAAATATATATAAAAGTGTCATAGATATATATAAAAGTTCCGGAACATTTTCAAAAGTTAAGTTGAAAAAGTAAATTTTTTGTGAAAAAGTTGTCATTTTAAATCCCCCCCTGTGGGTAAAGGGTCAGATTTATAAAAAAAATATACCAAATGATAGGTAAATACCTAAGTATCTATAAAAAAAAATTATATTGATTCGGTCATTTTTAAAAAATTATGGCAATTTTAAGTAAAATAATTTTAAAAATGTCGAAAATTAGCGATTTTTAAATTGAAAAAGAGAAAAAGTGATACAAAAAAAAAAAAATAATAATAATAAAAATATAGACACATCATTGTAAAACTAATACCAACTCAGATTCGTATCGAAGCTAAAAGGTGACATTATACAAAAAGTTATCTTCAATGCTACAATATTTCAACCTAAAAAATTCTTTTTACTGTACAAAATGGTTGATATTAGTCGATAACATGGAAAAATAATTATAAACCTAAAGTTCATAATTATATCTAAAAAATTTTGTTAATATAGATGTTTTTTCATTCATACAGGGTACGTTCCATAAGTAATGCGTCGCATTTTTTTCTGAAGCGACTATTCGTCCGATCGACAAGAGCAGTTCGCTCTGTGACCTTGGAGCTGTAGAACGTGANGTTCGCTCTGTGACCTTGGAGCTGTAGGACGTGCGTTTTAGTGACGCTCTGCGCGAGCACCTCGTCGTGGTTACGATGGAGAAAAGTTTAGAACAAAGATACGCGATAAAGTTTTGTGTGAAACTGAAGAAGACGCCGCTCGAGACTTACGGAATGCTTGCGGAGGCTTACGGGGATGCTTGCCTGTCAAGATCGCAGTCGAACCGGTGGCACAAGAAGTTTACAGAAGGTCGGGAAGAGGTCGCCGACGAACACCGCGAAGGACGCCCGTCATCGTCGCGCTGTGACGAAAATGCCGCTCGTGTGCAAAAATTACTGAACACTGATCGCCGAATGAGTTTGCAAATGTTGGCAGACGCATTAGACATTCCTAAAACCTCCGTTTACCGCATTGTTACGGAAGATTTTCAAATGCGCAAGGTTTGCGCGAAACTCGTACCGAAGATTTTGACTGACGATCAGAAGCAAAATCTTGTGCTGTTGTGTCAAGAACTCAACGATCTCACTGACGCTGATCCCAGTTTTCTCGATAACGTCAACACGGAAGACGAAACTTGGGTTTTCGAATATGATTCTGAGACCAAGCGCCAAAGTTCGGAGTGGCACACAGACGAGTCGCCGCGTCCGAAGAAGGCCAGGATGAGCAAGTCGCGGGTAAAATCGATGTTGATTGTGTTCTTCGACAAAAGGGGGGTAGTGCATAAGGAGTTTGTGCCAGCTGGACAGACTGTAACCGGTCAGTTTTACAAAGAAGTGCTTATTCGACTGAACAACAGAGTGAAAGGAGATCAGCAAGAACTGGCGGTTGCATCACGACAACGCGCCTTCACACACCTCGTTCGTTGTCACCAGCTACCTGGCCAGGATAGGTGTCGCAACGGTGCCCCAGCCTCCTTACAGTCCCGACCTGGCTCCCTGTGACTTTGTTTTATTCCCCCGAATGAAAAGAGACTTGAAAGGAACCCGTTTTTCAACGATAGAGAACGTCCAATCTACCACGACGAGGGTTCTTGACAGCATCCCGGTTGAGGAGTGGCAGGGCGCGTACGCTGCATGAAAATCTCGCTGGATTAAGTGTATTAATGCTGAAGGACAGTAATTTGAAGAATATTAAGTAATTATACCATTTCGTTCAATAAATTTCTTTAAAAAAAAATGCGACGCATTACTTATGGAACGTACCCTGTAAAAAATAATATTTATTTATTATTAATTAAAATAAAGTCACTCAAAAAAATTGTTGAAAAAAATTTTAAATCTTCAATTCTTTTTTTACCTTACCTCTTTTGGTAATGGTGGGGGTTTAGTCTTTTTGTCTTCTCCAATTACTACTGAATCTCTAAGTTGATTTTCTTCAGCAGAAATAACTTTAAAAACGTGAAAGCATTTTTGACATCTCAAAAAACGGTTAGCAGCTTTTAAAATAATAGAAAATTAAATAATATTAATTTTTCGATGAAAACTGTCTATCAACAATTACTTAAAAAATATTCTAAATTAGAACCAGAGCTTTGACAGATAGGACATAGTATTTCAGTCTGATAACTTCCTCCACTTGTTCCAGAATTATTCATACTCCACCTACTGGCAGTTACATGATAATTTTTGTTGATAGTTTTCAAAAAAATTTGTTTCTGTGTTACATATCCTTTAATATCCAAATTACAATTAAAATTATTATTTGATCCTATAATATAAAAACTTACTGAAATGACTAGTATTGTAAAATGAATTAATAAGAAACCAACTTCGCCGAGAATTATGTAAGTGTTTAAATTTTAGTTTGGATGTTATTTTAGCAAAGTGTAACATATTTAATTATTTAAATAAACTATTTAAAATGATAATGATTATTTTTTAATTAACTAATAGTTTAAAAGTATTTAAAAAAACTACATACTTGGAAAATTAGCTAAATTTTTATTTAAAAACGAAAACATATGTGTTATTTTAAGCAAATAATAAATATTATATCAATATTAGCCAAATATCCAACTTAAAAATTAAACATTTAAAAAATTTAGTTATCAATCAGTTAAGAAAAAAATTTAATTAAAAAATAAAAACTAGGCCTAGTTATTAATGAAGTATGGAATCATGTAATATAAGTTATAAAAGTATATAATAATACAAAGGTGAATTTATTAACAAATTTTAAGAATGATCAAAAAATCCAATTCATGGATTATGCTTTGTTGTACAAATTTTCACCAATTTCCAGCTTAATTTAAAATTTTATATTTTATTCATAGAAATCTACTTGTTGTGTACGTAACTAATGCAGATACATTTTAGCGCTACAGATTTAATCGTATTATACATACACAATGCATTTGGTCGATTCTCAGATTTTTAAATTAATGTGTTAACTTATTTATTATCACTATATTTTGAATAATTACTGAATCAGGAGTATCCAAAAGAGACTAACAGAGCTAAAAGAGGTAGTTCTTCAGTTATTTTCCATTGATTCATAAATTAGTGCTCTCACTAAAAAAAGCATAGGAAAGAAATTGTAAATGTAAATGTTTTATAACTTAAGTTCCTGTAATTTTTTTTCTAAACCCACTAGTTTTCTAGAAAAATTGAAAAATAAGTATTATTTTGCAAAACTGTCAAAATTGGTATATTTACGAATATTGTATCATATCTGACGAACCGTTTATAATAAGAATTGCCTATTTTGTATTTTTAATTTAAAGTAGTTTCAGTTTTAATTTTTATGTTATTTTGATGTATAAAATATCAAAAAAGTGCGGCGCTTATTGTTGACCAGTGTTTACTGGAAAAATGCTCGAATACATACGCAAGATTCAGCTAATATTATAAGAAAATTAAAAAAGTTGTACGATGAACTAAGAAATTTAGTTTTAAATTTAGGAAAAATAAAACCAGGACCAGCGGACTTATACAAGAAAAGAGAACAAAATTTTGTAGATCAAATCGAAGAATTGTTTGATATAGCTCATGCTAATGCAATCAGTCTAATGAATATTCAGGAAGATATTGATTTTTTGCGACTTCAACGACATAAGAGACGTTCCGAANATCCAGGAAGATATTGATTTTTTGCGACTTCAACGAACTAAGGGACGTCCCGGATGTATGATGGGAGTAGATATGAATTTAACCCAAGCAGAAAAAAAAATGCAAATAAGACAAGAACAGAAAAATAAAATACTTATACCTCACTCAGAAACAGAAACTTTATTAGAAGGTAATTTTTAAAAATAATGAATGTTTAATAAACATTATTTATTATATTTTTAACNATGTTTAATAAACATTGTTTATTATATTTTTAATAATTATATATGATTTAATTTAGAAAAATATTCATGTACTTCATCGGATTCATGTGATATGGAAATCGTAAGTGAAGAAGAGAGACAATTTTCACCAGTAGCAGGTCCGTCAAAAAATAAAAGAGGTAGAAAAGAACTTTTAATTTCTAGATTATCTGCCACTCTTAATAGGGATAAAATAAGTGATAGGGACGCTGTTCATTTGTTAACTGCATGTTTGGATGCCTTATCATTAGATCCCAGCATATATGTTTTAAACCGATCGTCAATTAAAAGGTCCCGTGAACATTATAGACAAAAAATTGCAGAAAATATTAATTCTAAATTTCATGAACAAAATTTGAATTTCGTTGTGATCCATTGGATTCAAGAATGCTTCCAGACCTTACAAGGAAAAAAAAAGTCGATCGCCTCCCTACTATTGCAACCGCCTTAAATTTTGAACAGCTTCTTGGAGTCTCTTATATACCCTCAGGGAAAGTTTTAGAAGTATCATTAGCTGTCTATGAAGCTTTAGTCAAATGGTCACTATTGGAAAAAGTACAGGCTTTCACATATGATACTACGGCCTCTAATACGGGAAGGTTTAATGGGGTATGTCTTTTATTAGAGCAATGTCTTGGAAGAGAAATTTTATTCTTAGCATGCCGACACCATATTTATGAACTTGTTTTACAAGGCGTATTTTCAGAAACCAAATTATGTCCTTCAACCGGACCAGAAATATTATTATTCAAGAGGTTTCAACAAGAAAGGGAAACAATTGATAAAACAAAATTTTCTACATCAATTTCTGATATTTATGTTCATAATATTTTAAAAGATGAAGCCGATGAAATTATTTTATATGCAAAAAATAAAATTACTGAATATCTCCCCCGAGATGATTATCAAGAGTTTTTAGAACTTATTGTTATATTTTTGAACGGTGTTTCTCAAAGGGGAAATGCTTTTTTAAAACCGGGTCCATCTCATTTAGCCAGATAGATGGCTAAAACAATATATTGCTTAAAAATATTTTTGTCTAAAAATCAATTTAAACTAGACAGCAGAGAAGAAACATTATTAAAGGATATTTGTTGTTTTATTGTAAAATTTTACGTTCAAGCTTGGTTTTCATCTCCCAAGGCTATAGAAGCTCCTTTTAATGACATATTATTTCTTAAAAAATTAGAATCTTATAAATTACAAAATAAAAAAAATCGCAACGTGACATTAAAAAAAATAACTAATCATTTGTGGTATTTAAATCCACAATGTATTACTTTTTCCTTATTTGACAACCGTATAGACTACAATACAAAACGCAAAATGGCTGAAAATATTCTAAGTTATAATGATGATGAAGAAACTAATCTGAATAAAAAGATAACTCTTACACCAGACGATGTCCCCAATTTTCTTCAAAAAGACCTACCAACTGATTTAATAACTTCCAAATCAATTGAAATGTTTAAGCGGTTTAAAATTCAAACAAATTTTTTAAGCATTGATCCAGCTTATTGGAATTATTAGGAAAACTTCAAAACAGGAAGAGAAATAATCAAATCATTGAAAATAGTAAATGACACAGCTGAGAGAGGAGTTAAGCTAATGGAAGTATATAATGATAAATTCACTAAAGACAAAGAACAAAAACAATTTTTATTGCAGGTAAATTTAACAATTTTTATTTTTAACTTAACTTAATTATATCGTTCAAATTTTTACCAAAAAAAAATATCCAAAATGTGATAGAGAAACATTAAAAAATATATATTTATGTTAAATTTTGTTTTTGTGCAGGAGCTAGATATTAATCTTTCGTTGTTATATTATCTTACCCACATATATCAGTTTATGTAGACATACATACCCCGAGATCCCTTTCTATTTCATTCTATTATTGTCTCTGCCCTGTACCCCTAGCCACTCTTACTTTTCCTTGTACTAAACCACCAACGCCTCTACTTTTATTTATCACAAAATCTAATCTCCCTTCACCCTTACACGCTCCGACTGCCCTTTTACTTTTTCTTTTTGTTTATTACACACGTGAGGCAACTACGCTACGCTGCGTGCGATGAATTTTGGACTTAAGATAACATATGTTATAACGACATGTTATCTTCACATACCAATTAGTAGGGACCAACAGTCCCGTATTACCAATTAAAATTATATGAAACCAGAAAGTGTAATTCGAAATTTTGTGAACAGATATTTTTAAAAATAGACCATCTGAATACTATGTTAAATTATTATTTCAAAATACATGTTTAATATTTGAATGTGATATCCCGTGTCTAGTAAATATATTACGTAACTAACAGCAACAACAATTATTTAAATAATTTTAGATTTTCATGCTATAAATTTAAGATCTAATATTATAAAACAGAATATATGTTATGCTGTACAAATATTTTTAATTGTATTTAAAAATGCTGAAATCCTTGTCAAAGAGCTTATTTTGGAGAAGATCATGTATCATTAATAACCGCAACTTATGGCAATATATAAACAATAGTTTTAATCGGTAAGATGTTACATGATTATTAAAATGATGATTAAAAATTTTCAGATTACGCTCTTTTTTAGGATATTTTGATGTCTTTATTTATCATATTTATTAAATATTAGACTAGACGACCCCAACAATTGCGAGAGAAAGTGAAGGGAATGCACGTTTGTTATTATATGTATAGGATATTTCATGCAAAAATATACTAACAAAAACTATGACTAGTGTCCGATTAATACACATATTATTACATGATTTTGTGTAATAGAACTTTTTCTTAAATGTGAATCTATTATGTGAGTTAAGATGATGTCATTCGCGAGTATGTTATTAAAGCACAAAATAACAAAATTGTGTATCGATTTATTATTTATAAAAAATAAGAATATTTTCTGTTTATTTATTATTTATAAAGATATATGATATAATGTATTCGAATATAGTTCTCATACTCAACCTCACCGGAGCATATTGTTTACGATCGATAAAAATTAAAAAAAATGTATTCCCAGCCTTAAAAAATGTAGTTCAGCCACTGATATTTTATTTACAATGTAGTACATTATTATCATCTCCTTTATGCTAAAAGTATTTGAGTGTAAAAATGACAAATTGTGATGGCATTCATAATCGCTACATTATGCCGTTATACATATATAATGAAAGTTTTTATTTGATAAAATAAGTATTCAAATAAATATATAAATACATATTATTTATAAATATTATTAAAAATACATTTTATAAAATTAAAAGAGTGGAAGAAGATCGTATTAAAATGATAGGATCTAATATAGCATGCGCTGAATGGCTCATGAAAAATGGTGCCTATGTTAGATGCAAGGGATATAAAGGATTTGTTAACCATTATGATTGTTTGCCAAAGCCATCACATGGTTGTCTACAACATTTTAAAATAGAAGAAGTATTTGCTGGAAAAGATGCTTCTATATCACACTTAGGATTTGATAATTTTGGTAATTATTTGAAACAAATCATTTTTTGAAAAGTTTGTATCCCCTTATTAATTTTTATAAATATTATAGAAAATTGTGATAACATATCTGCCGTTTCATTTATTGGATGTAACTTTATAGAAAATAAGGCGATGAATAAATTAAAAGTACTGAAAAATAGTTTAAAATGTTTAAAAGTTATTAGCTGCGTAAATGTTTCTAATTCTGGAATAAAATCCTTGGAAAATCTTCAGTAAAATTAAAATATACCAAATTATAGTTATCAAATTGTATATTCCTAACTTATTAATAATCTAGACATTTGAAACGTTTGGAGCTGTGGAATTTACCATATTTTAGAGACAAGAAAATTTTAGACCATCTAATTGCTACATTACCTTATTGTCAAATAATAATTAACAAAGGAGTTGTATAGATATTTTATTTATTTGACAGGCTGTTGGAAATATTAATAAAACAAGGAAACAACAATCGTTTTATTTTCCCAGGAAAAATTAGTAAACTCGTGTCAAGGTGGAATTGTAAAAATTCATTACTAATGTAATTTCTAATATTAATAATTGTTATTTTTTGATTATACGTGTAATACTTGATATTATCCCTGCGTGAATAGTTTAATATGTGTTTATTTCAATAAACAATACTTTATAAACAAAATAATTTTTTTTTAATAAAAGATAAAAATTTCAGTTACAATTTACTATTTGTAAACTATGGTTAAGTATTATAAATCCCAACTGTATTGAATTTTTTAAATATATAAAATGATTATTTTATTATAATCCACATAATTAATGGAAAAATAAATGTAACATTGTTCATTTTTTTATTAGTTTCTTTTAGTATTGCAAATGTTATAACCATTTTAAAATATAGACTAAGGTGTGGGTTAGATGCTGCTATTTTTATCACTAAACATTCCTCAGTCTAATTCCTCATTCTGCCTAGGTATGAAAAAATTAATAACTTCCGAAATACTTATCCAAATGTTATTACAAAATAGTCATTTTGATATTTATATCGTTATTTTAAAAATATATAAGTTAATTAAGTACATTTTCATTTAAAAATAGTAGCACAATGGGGTCGCGACACAGTATTATAAAATTTCATTAAATTGTAAAAATCTATTGTTAATTCAGGAGAAACTAACAATCATTTTTTTTAGAAATAATTTATATAGCAACATGTTATCAAAAAATTTGGAATATTAAAGTCTAGTAATAGCAGACACAAATTAGAAATGAATGATTTGAATTGTCTGTATGGAGAACATGGGATAAGTAACTGTTTAATTGATAAATTAGAATATCTTTTCAAATTTTGAGGGTAATATCTTCAATTAGTTACGAATTGTAATTATTTGACGTATCGTTGAAAAAAGTAGGTCAAGTTAGAGCAGAGAAAATAAATGATAGTCACAATAAAATACTTTCTCAGCTTTGTATCGTAGCTAAAACCTAAAATATAGTTAAATAATTTTAATATAAATAAGAAATTTCTTCTTACGAGGGGCGACTACTTGACTATAATATTCCAAATTTTTTGTTAACATGTTGCTATATAAATCATTTTTAAAAATAATGATTGTTAGTTTCTCCTGAATTAACAATGGATTTTTACAATTATAAAAAAAGCAAGGCGAATGAAAGATGTGTATAAATACTACTTCTCATGAAAAAATTGTATTGATCCATATATTTTTCAATAAGTTATAGCATTATAAGGTTAAAAATGTAAAAAATAAAATCGAGAATTTTCACACAAAAATAGCATTCGGTAGCCATTTTCATCACGAAGACAAGTCCAGAGGTCAAATTTTTTTTTTTTTTAATGAAGTACATTACATTAGCTTCAATTTAAGATATATATAAAAGTGTCAGACCTTGAAAGTTGAAAAAGTTAATTTTTTGTGAAAAAGTTGTCATTTTAAATCCCCCCTGTGGGTAGGTAAAGGAACAGATTTATAAAAAAAATATACCAAATGATAAGTAAGGACATTATGCATCTATAAAAAAAAAATTTATATTGATTTGGCCTTTTTTAAAAAATTATAGCAATTTTAAGTAAAGAAATTGAAAAAATTTCGAAAATTAGCGATTTTTAAAATTGTAATTTTTTTGGAGGTTTCCCCCATTTACGGGAAATGAGGGAAAACTCGTGAAGTCGGTGGACCACGTCCCGTGGAGGAAACCCTATCGGGTCGTCATGTGGAAGCTCCACGGTTCACCGGCTTCCGGTCGGCTGGAGGCGGAAGTGCTGGAAAGGGCGGTAGACACGCTCTTTCCGACACATCCGCCTCTGCTTCCCTCTGCGTTCGGGGACGACGTGTCGGTGGAGGAATTCACCACCCAGGAGGTGGCCGACGCGGTGTTGCGCGTACGGGGCCGGAACACAGCTCCCGGCCCTGACACGATTCCAAACCGGGTGTGGGGGTTGGTAAACGATCTCGCCCCGGATTGGATACGCGCCGTCGCGAAACGCTACCTCTCGGAGGGTGAATTCCCCACGAAGTGGAAGAAGGCCAGGCTGGTGCTTCTGAGAAAGGGTGACAAGCCCGAGGGTCTCCCCTCGTCGTACCGACCGCTTTGCATGTTGGACAACTTAGGGAAGATCCTCGAGCGTCTGCTCGTCACCCGGATCGAAGTCCACTTGGCCGACGTCGGCTTCCGGAGGGGGAGGTCGACGGACGATGGACGACAGGGAGCAGGGTTTCGGGGTGGCGGTGACCTTGGAAATCCGAAATGCGTTCAACTCCGTGCGATGGTCACACATCCTCGGAGCGCTTAACGCGTTTCGGGTGCCTCCTTACCTCGGGCGGATGATCCGGTCGTACTTAAGCGATCGGGTTATTTCCTACAAGAGCGTCTCGGGCCTCTGCTGTGGAACATCGCTTACAACGCGGTGTTCCGCGTTCCGCTACCACCGCACTTACGCGTCGTCTGCTACGCGGACGACACGCTGGTGGTGGCGGAAGGCGACTCGTCCGAGGAGGCTGGATCTCGTGCGAACTGCGCGCTCAGCGCAGTCACCGCCTGGAAACAGCAGGAGGGGAGTGGACTGAGCCTCACCCTGGACAAGACCGCTTCGGTCTTGTTCACGGGCAGGTACAAGTTTACTCCTCCACGGCTCGCTGTGCTGGGGGTGGAGATCCCGCTTAAGGACTCCATGACTTATTTGGGCCTTGTCATAGACAAACGTCTTAAGTTCGGGCCGCACATTACTCGTGCGGCCCAGCGGGCCCAGAAAGTCATGAATTGCCTGCCGGGACTCATGCCCAATCTGGAAGGGCCGAGAGAGATCCTGCGCAGACTTTTAGTCAGCGTCGTACACTCGGTCCTCCTGTACGGGTCCGGACTCACGGTGAGATGATTTATCGTCTCACCCAAGTGATGTCCGGCCACGGCTGCTTTAACGAGTACTTAAACCGTATTCGTATAATTTAGTTAATTTCGGGCTGATTCACAACGTGGTGGCGTAAATTATATAGTTGGCTTATTAGTCACGTAGACATAGAAGAATTATACATTTTATTTTTGGCCGAACACTATTTGGCGATACAAACATTTCAACACATAAAACGTGTTGGTATTTGAATTATTTATTTTTTTAATATGTCTTAACATAAAAAAAACTTGATTCTTCATTTTATCTACCTCGTATTATCCTTTAATAAATGCCCACTCTATAACCTCTCTCGGTACTCTATCATACGAATTTTTAAAATTATTTATGATAATAAAAAAAATAAAAAATATCCAGAGGTTTTAAAGTTTATTAAAGATTAATAGAGGATTTGCCAAAACAGACTAAGACACTCTGTGTATAAGTTAATACGTTTAATCATCTTTATTTTACTAAATTAATTCAATTATCAAGTGAGAGAATATAAGTAGGGTAAAATAGAGAGTTCTAGAACCCCCCCGCNAATATATATTTTTTATACTCTCCAAGCAAACAAATTGCATTATCACCATGTAATTATTTTTATTTAGGAAAGAAATTTATTGTCTTCATCTTTTCCATAAGTCAGCAGAAACAAAACATAAGCCAGACATGAGTGTATAGATCCGACGTGCATTTGTCCGGCACGCAAATGTCGTATATTAATTGACACTTGATTTATGATTTTTTTTTGAATATTTAATCGGAATAAATAAAAAAATATAATAATGAATTAGAAAAAAGAACACTAAAATCGTGTTCATGTTTTACTGGTAATGGCTTCGCATCCTGAAACAATATCAATAATGTCTGTTGTTATCCTTGATTGTCTTTTACGATTAAAGCTTAAAGTTGATTTTTGTTTTAACTTATCCACATTTTTGGTAGCTGAGTCCATAGCTAATACTCTAGCAGAGTGTTCACTAGTTGCGTTTTCTACCATGGCAAAATATAGTAAAGAAATTGTAGAAAATTCGATGTAGCTTCTTAATTCTTCTTCTTCTACTTCGTCTAAACTTGTTATGTGAGCCGTCATAAGTAAAATATCTGTACTGTAAATTGGTATCCAATCAACTTTTGATGTGCTTTTAGAAGTTAGACAATTGTAAAATATTTGAGAAGCAATATATTCTACAAAGGAACACATCTGAAATATTTTTGAAGCATCTAAAAATGTAGGATTATTTTTTCCAATATTAGTTACAGAAAATAATATATAATTTGGATGTGTTCTTTGTAACATAGTTTCTGATTTTTTCCCTATGCATACCACCGATGCATTTGTTTGATCTGATCTAGACAACTCTTCTCGAACTTTTTTCACTATACCAGAATGTATAGATCCGCATAAACCTCGATCTGATGTCACCGCAAATAATAGGTGATCTTCTGTGTAGTCAAGCATATTAATATCTGTGTACCGACTATAAAATGAGAGAGTCCCATAACCAAACGGACGTGTATCCCGTAACAAACGTTCAGCTCTGTTCAATTTTGCAGCAGAAACTACTTTCATAGTTTGTGTAATTTTTTTTATGTTAGAGAATGATTGTATTTGTTTTTGAATAGTTCTTAATGCCATTGCAAGGGTAATTTACTCCTTATGATTTTAATAAATTCAGTGAATATAAGTTAATGTTTCATTTTTTTAATTTATAAATTAGGTAATAATATGTTTATATCAACCAAAACCTTGTTTATTAAATTTCTATTATAATTTCAGTGTTAAATATTTTAAGCCAACTAAATTCTTTAAAAGGCAAGTATTCTGTCAATATATCGATTATCATTGTTATTATCATTGATATCGCAGGGTGGCAAAACGATACATGATATGTTAGAGAGAGTCCATTTTTAATTATTTTATTTATATTAATGAGAAGATAATTTTAAAATATTAAAAAAAAGAGCCGTTTCAATTTTTTGATTGATAAAAATTGGATAAAATTAAAAATTTATATAAAACAACTAATTTATCTAAGACATTGAATTAATTCTTTTTTAATTAGAGAAAAATAAGTTAAAATTTAATAAATGATTTTTTTTTAATTGTGTTAAATTTTCCTATTTTACCTAATTAATTGATGTAATTGTGAAAAATTCCAAAAAATGAGTATTCTTATATCAAACAAACAGTAGCACAGTGGGGTTGCGACACAATGTGAACATAACATAGTTAGGACAAGTTTAGATGATATCAGACAGTTATTAAAATCACTATCATAAGAATGATTCGATACAAATTTGTAGATAGAGATTAATAATATTAAAAAAAATGGTGGATTATTCCTAAAGCTATATGATCTGATATTTCCTTATTAATATCCTGATTAAGATAAAGTATGTCGAATGAAAAAGAGATTATTAAAAAATATTATTTCTCATAAAAAAATAAAGTTGATCCATACACGTTTCAATAAATTATAGCAAAATAAAGTTTAAAATTTAAAATATAAAATCGAGAATTTTCACACATAAATAGCATTCGGTAACTATTTTCATCATGAGACAAAATAAAGTTCGAATTTTTTTTTTCCATAATAAAGTATATTATATTAATTTAAGATATATATAAAAGTATCAGACTTCCCGGAACACTTTCAAAATTTAAGTTGAAAACGTTAATTTTTTGTAAAAAGTTTTCATATTAAATTCCCGCCTGTTGGCAGTTAAAGGGTCAGATTTATAAAAAAAATATACCTAATGATAGGTAAAGGCATCAAGCATCTATAAAAATAATTATATTGATCCATACATTTTTCAAAAAGTTATGGCAATTTTAAGTAAAAAAAATGGAAAAAATTTCGAAATTTAACGATTTTAAAATTTGTAATTTTTTTGGAGGTTTCCTCCATTTACGGGGAATGAGGGAATTTTTTTCAATTTTTGAAGGTAATGTCTTTGGCTAGATACTATTACGTCGCTATTTAGGGGTTGAGCCTAAATGCCCGTCGACAGTATTCTAAGGGACCAACGGGGGATAGCTGGCTAGGCTATATCAACCTTAGGTACTGAGGTTTCCTATTTAATTTATATTCCCTTAGAGGAACTACCAAGGGTAGCATTACAATATATGTATATAACACTCTTGGTTAACAACGATATAAATATTTTTTAAGTGATTGGAATATTAAATAGATAATACAACCTGCTGGACACTTAGAGATGATATAATATAACAGGGAGCTGACGGCGACATACCACACACACTATATACGTGATAGAAAAGTTAAGTTGTCGCGATGATGGTAAAAGGTCAACTGTCGGATAGGGATATATTATTATGGCACACGTGAATTGCAAAAGTATTTATGTGTGCAGTCCGCCCTCCTGTTAGTATTGTTGTATGTCACTGTGTCAATTATATATAATATATATATAAACGAAATTAACCAATAATACTCATATTAGGGTGTCCCAGAATTTTGAAGTTTCGGAAATNGTATACAGGGTGTCCCAGAATTTTGAAGTTTCGGAAATGCTTAGTGCATACCCCTCAAATTTATTTGTATACATATGAAAAAGAACACAAAAAAATTTCAGGTCGATCAAACAAGTTTAACCCGTGCCGACTTGGGGTTGAAAATTAGTTAAAAGGGGCAGTTTTTCAGTTATTTGCTATTGACTCGTTAATTAGTGCTCTCACAAAAAAAAAATATAGGAAATAAATTGTAGATATAAATGATGTGTATAACTTAAGTTTCTATAATATTTCTTCTAAACCCACTAGTTTTCTAGAAAAATTGAAAAATAAGTATTACTTTGCAAAACAAGAAAATAAAAAAAAAACCCAGCACAGGGGGGTCGCGGCACAGTGGTGACGTGGCATAGTTGGATCAAGTATAATGATATCTGACAGTGATTAAAATCACTATCAAAAATAAACGCTTCGATGCAAATCTTTAGATAGTGTTTAATTTTAAAAAAATTGGTGTTTTATTCCAAAAGCTACTTGATCTGCTGGTTCCTTATTAATATCTCGATTAAGATAAAGTATGTCGAATGAAAAAAGGTTTATTAAAAAATATTATTTCTCATAAAAAAATTGTGTGGATCCATAAACTTTTCAATAAGTTATAGCATTATAAAGTTAAATATAATATAAATAATAAAATCGAGAATTTTCACACGAAAATAGCATTCGGTAGCCATTTTCGCCGTGAAGACAAGTCCAGAGGTCAAATTTTTTTTTTTCAAATTAAAGTATATTACATTAGCTTTAATTTAAGATATATATAAAAGTGTCAGACCTTCCGGAACATTTTCAAAAGTTATGTTGAAAAAGTAAATTTTTTGTGAAAAAGTTGTCATTTTAAATCCCCCCCTGTGGGCAGGTTAAGTGTCAGATTTACAAAAAAAATATACCAAATGATAAGTAAAGACATCAAGCATCTATATAAAAAAAAATTATATTGATATGTTCATTTTTGAAAAAGTTAGAGCATTATTAAATTAAAAATATAAAAAAAAATTATTTTACAAAAATCGTAATTTTTTATTAAATTTGATGTCAACTTTCACCACAAAGACAAGTCCAGAGGTCAAATTTTTTTTTTTCAAATTAAAGTATATTACATTAGCTTTAATTTAAGATATATATAAAAGTGTCAGACCTTCCGGAACACTTTCAAAAGTTAAGTTGAAAAAGTTCTACTTTCTATATGCATTTTTTATATTTGAAGCCCCCCCATATATAGGGAAATAGTCTGATTTAAAAAAAAAGTATATCCAATGAAAGATGTATATAAATACTACTTCTCATGAAAAAATTGTATTGATCCATACATTTTTTAAAAAGTTATAGCACTTTAAAGTAAAAAATGTAAATTATAAAATCGAAAATTTTCACACAAAAATAGCATTCGGTAGCCGTTTTCACCATGAAGACAAGTTCAGAGGTGATGTGTGTTTGTGGGGCCACCTCACTGAGGTGGCCCCATGGTTTTTTAGGGTACCTCATTGAGGTTCCGCCACCTCTTTCATGCCACCTCCCTTATCAATAATAGATAAGAGAAATTATATGTATAGGATGGTGTTCTATGTTGTTTATCGGTGAAGTAATTTTGATAACAGATTATGATAATACTCTTATCATTTATTATGATATTTAATTTATTTATATCTCTTATCATATTGATAAGTAGATATTTTTATAAATGAATGATATTATTAGTATGATTCCTTGTTTGATACTTCCTTTTTATGCCACCTCATTTTTACCTCCTCCTCCCATAACAATCAACATTTTAAATCCTATCCTATTTAATATTATCCCCCTCTTATTATAAAA